TAGGTTGAAAGTAGTCAATTTTCTTTTCATAAATGGATGGGTGGATCCATCACTGTTTTCTCTAGAACACCATACCGCGTGAAATGTCCAAAAAATTCCAGCTTTATGAAGAGGATGCTTTTTATGAGCCAGTTCTCCTTGATGCTCAGGTCATGCAGGAAGTCAAGTTTTTCTTCTTCTTGGCCCACGGTATTCTAAGAATTTGTATCCATACATAGGCCGATTTAGAAGAAACAATTCAAGACAGACAGGACCTAGGTCCTAGAGGAACAGAACACTTGAGACCCCCCCCCCCCAATATTTTTTTTTCGGAGAGGTCGGCTAAGACCCCGCCACCTTTTAAAAATATTTTCAGCGGAAAACCAACTTCCGACTTTGTATAGAAGTTATCTTTTTTAAGTATTTGTCTCTTCTTCTTATCTTCTTACCATTCACCGACAGTATACCCTGCCATAAATTTTCAGTTGTTCGTCCACTTCTGGACATTGGTCTTTTTCCATAACTTATGTACTATATGCTTGTTAGAGGGATCGCATGGTTTCCACTCACTTCATCGCCTCTCTAGAGAGGGACAGTCTATTATATTCAGACTAAGGACAGGGCACAACAGATTTCGTCAACATATGTTCAAATTTTTCGGTGTAGGAATACGGATACCCCTGCAGCGTGGCACCCGAAAATGCTGAGCATGTGCTCCAACACTGTCAACTGTATGCTGACACATGAGACGCAATCTGGCCTGTTCCAACACAATGAAGACAAAACTGTATGGTAACACAAGAGGATATGGATTGCACGATAGCTTTCATAAAGGCTACCGGCCTCCTGATATAAGTTTTCTGACAGAAGGATCGAAGAAGAAGAAGAAGAGCATGGTTTCCCGACTGCTGAGGTATTATGGCCATGTTAAAGGACAATATGGCCGTAGAGCTCGGTGATGGAGGGTAGTTTCCAGAAAAAATGGCAGCGCGAGACTCAGTGAAAGTGGATTTTAACCACTTAACATGCATTTGCTATGAGAGCACGTACTGCTGGGGAATCGACTAGAGAAAGACTTTTAGGCGTGCTGTAACAAGCGACGTTCTGTGAAAGATCTACTTATTGTTGAGGATGATGTTATAGGGGCAGCGAGTCTATTAACCCCCCCCCCCCCCTAAGCCTCTTCTAAAATGAGGCACTGAAACCCACAGCTACCAACCAGTGTCTTAGTATTTTACGACTTGAGCCTTGAATCCTGGGACATTAGACTCCTTTATGCGTATTAAAAATATGGTACCCTCATCCAATGGGTTGCGGAGTTCCTGAAGGGGGGAGGGGCGCAAATTGTCCCTTCTTATTCTTTACAACTTGCCAACTAACCCTTTTATGTGGGAATGAAGAAGAATAAGAAGAAAAGACTACGAAAGTCAGATATTTTTTTTTCTTTCTGGCAAAAAAAAAATGCAAGCGGTACTCAATACTGTTTATTGTGCATTATATTTTTAGCGTCACTGCAATATACACTTTGTAGTGAGACCGGCAACCTCATTTTATTTCTACAAGAACAACCCTGATGAAAATAACTAGACTCCAACCCCCTCCCCCCACCTTTTTTTTTTTTTTTTCAACCTTCAAAGAAGCATCGTTTGAAAATTGTTTGAGAAAGTATATCCATTTGACGACGCAAAAGTTGTTTGAGAAAGTATATCCATTTGACGACGCAAGGATTGATTTTTTTTTTCAAACATTTAGATGGTCAGGTGCATGCCGCAAATCAGGCGTGTGCGTTGCTGCTAAACACAAAGATTTCATTCACAACGGAAGGGGCGTGGCAGCAGGTGTTACCACCATGAGACCAATGACTAAAAGGGTCTCTGTTTAAATTCGACTTATCTAACACATACATTAAAAACACGCACAGCGATATTCTTTGGAGTAATTCTTTATTGCATCTCCACTTATTTTCTATTCTAATAAATCTTATGTTACTATATTGACTTAGGTGCAAATTGCATCGACAAATTCTAATCTTTAACAATTGATTGGTATTGCAGGGCTTAATATACATGATGTATTTTGAAGAAAAAAAAAATGAGTGGGGATTTCAAATACCTACAGTTTTCTCATAAATGATGATTGTGTTTTCAATGCACACTTTTTCTATTGTATATAGCGTATAACGAATTCTTGCAGTCCTCTTCGTTATATATAATTTTGAAATCCTTTTTATTTCCCAGTATGCTGTTGCAATTTTGTGCATCGAATAATTACTTCTTTCTTTCCTTTTTGCAATATACTTTATTATTATTTGCAATATTATCTTGTAAAACATATAAATATAAAGTATCATTTATGTATGAAACATTATTTAATAAAATACATTTATAAATTAAAGCACGCTTGATATAAAGTATACTTTTGTGAACACAAGTCAGTTCATATGGTAACTGGCCTCTGATTGGCTGCTTTGAGAAAAGCGGGCGATTTGACTGGTTGCCTCGTTTTCAAGATCAACAAGAAGGCAGATGAGGGGCCGTGAATGATTTCTTCTTCATTCTCGTAAAGATCCCTGACTTTCTAGATGACCGTGTACCGGCAGTCCTAGGTAGAAATTAGGCCGGCTTTATTTCAGTTAAGCAGGTAAGAAACTCTTCTTGATGGTAATATAATCATTCTTCTTTGTTGTAGTGTAATTTATGTATTTTTCCTTTTTATTTTGGGGTGTCTGAAATGTCCGCCCAATTTTTCTAATTTCTACTTTGTACTTTGGCAATAGAATTGATGGTACCATGTAGTTAATATATGTCTTTATCTATGTCTATTGAATGGCATTCAGTTCTTGTACTGACATTATTAATAGATGTGCACAATTGCTTACAAATTATTTGAATTCGAATTTAAACTTAAACTACATCGCCATGTATTAGGTTGATGATAATCAGTATCAGCTCTCCCTTAGCCCTTAACAATAATTAAAACATCAATTACTTTTTAAATCTCACTTGTCTGCATGCTGTATCTTCTGCTTTCGTACTCATTTCCACAAGTATTTATCATTTATTATATTCTATAAGGATCAGTTAAGAACATATTCGAATCTTTTGTTTCACATTGAATCTGTGCCCCCCATTCCTTCGTTCTTTGTATAGCTGGGAAATGAGGTCAGGCCCAACGTTCAAATTGCTCTGGATGTTAGCACTTGAAAATGAAACTTTAAGGTTCGATTTGCTTTAGTAATGAAAGCAATAAACTGAAAACATTGATAAAGTACTTTTTTAAGGTGTAAATATGGGGCTGCATAAATGGCATTTGGTTGGCCAGTGAATATATTATAGTATAATATAATTTATACCATTACAAGAAATGAAATACACTAGATGGTTGGTAAACGTTTTCATGTTCCCTTTCATTCATCTTTTAAATGCCTAAATTTTGAATGAATGGAGATCATTAGTTTTTTTTAAAAGGACATTTAATTGATACACAGAAGTTTAGGAGTATAGTTTTTTGGCTACACATACATGAATCGATATGAAAAAAAATTTACAAGTGTTTCCACTTAGTTGTTACCTATAGAAAAGAAGTAAATAATATAATATACTCAATCGTTATCTATACAAAATTTAGTACCCATCCCTTCTGAGCCTTCTCAGTGAGGGTTATGTGGCCCCATTTGGCTTGGGAGGGGGGGGGGAGCACTGCCTCCCTGTTGTGTTGCAAAATGGGACTTAAAGCTGAAATCGGTCGGATGTATTTGGCTGAAAGGTGCAGATATGGATCCTCTTCTCTACCATATCCAGCAAGGCTTTCTGTGAGGGCAAGCACTGTTCATACAGGCTGATTTGGTTCCATTCCCAGGTAAGGACTGGTCCCTACCATGTCAAATTAGGTGGGATACCCCTATCATTTAGACATTGACACACACTTGCCTCAACTCTCACCATTTCAGGTGCAAAGGAAAAGGAAATGTCATTTTCTTGAGTCATACATCTGCAAGAAAGACAGTCTGCATAAAAAAAGCCACATCTGTGAAACAGATATGCACACAACTCAGTTTTAAAAAAAATACTGAAATAGGAGCTATCCTCTGAATAACAGTCCTAAATTATCGAGGCGGAAAATATACCCTAACAGTGCCTTTAGTCACGTGTCAATTGCGCACTTCCGGGGATTATAACGCCACCACCGAATTGCAAACTTTCGGCGCTTGAAGTGCACAATTTAAGACGACGGAAGTACGCAATTGACATGACTGAGGCCCTTTTAGGGTATATTTTCCACCTCAATAATTTAGGACCTTTATTCGGAGGATAGCTGAAATGTGTGTATAGCACTATTTGCCTGATGTGCCACTAATGTTGAAAGGGTTCTTAACTTGTTACCTATCATTTTGTGTGTGACCGGAAATTACATCGCCCTACATTGTAAAAGAATTCAAACAAAATCCTCAAAATATGCTGTATGGTGTTTTCTGCAGCACAGCTTCATGGTGTCATAAATCTGAACCTCATGTGGACTTTTCCCACGCAGGATGCAAAGTGGGTATATGATGCTGGCCCCAGTATTTCAAAATAAAGGACTTATGTGGGTTCTAGTGCTCTATTTTTTTTTTTTTACCCCCCCCCCCCCCCCCCCCCCCCCATCCAAACATGCATGTCTTAAAAGACGTCTAATTAGGGTATGCTGAAATAAGATGTGTTGTGTTGAAAGACACTGATGTTGCAGTAATGCTGTGAACAGCACAGTGGGCCCACTGCTCTAAGGGCAGGCACGGAAGATACAAACAGGATCGGGATCCCTTGGATACAAAAATACCCGAGACAGGAGAATTGGCTGGCACACAGACATCTTGTCAGATTTTATTGGCAGGCACAATTCAATAAAGTACTGACATTTTGGGCATGCAGATTTAATAAATCTCCCCCCTCTCCCCTTTTTTTCTCCCTCTTTGATTGCAGGATTTTTTTTTAACATTGCACTTTTCTTTTGTTTAGTTTAGTGAAAGTACAAAAACAGCCAAGATGCTCCGAAACCAAAACAGTAACATAAGCCATGCTTCAAAAGAAGAGCAGTCCAAAGAAAACGCCCGTCCCAAACTAACCAGAGCAGCAACGTCGAAAAGATCTGCTCTCGGAAATGTAACAAACCAGCTGAGAAGGCAGCCACAGAGAATCGCTAAGGGAAAGGTAAAGAAATTAAAGCTTGAGTGTTTGTTTTTCTCTGGTCTCATAACTAAAGCCCAGGAAACTAAGATGAAATCATAGTGAGATCCTGTAAAGAAACAAACTCAAATGCCATACTTGACATTTCAAATATTGTACCTGACAAGCTCCAGCGCCTCACATTTGCATATACACCTTCTCCTTGACCTGGGACTTAATGATCAGGAAAAAAATAGTAACTACCTGTTCTCTTTGTGTGTTCTGGGGACCATTGTAGGGAAAACAAGGGGACCATTACAGGGAAAACAAGAATAGTCCTACTGTTTCTTTAACAAGTATGTCATAAGAGTTCTGTCTTCAAAGTTGAAGTAGAGTGTATCTGCCTCAGATGGAAGGAACTTACAATCTGCATACAAATAAGTCAGATCTGTAAAACAGATGTGCACCAGCACTCATATTTTGGAACAAAACTGAGGTCCAGATGTGGATGAGCAAACAGAACATTCTGCTTTGAGTTTACAGCTGTTTAATGAGTAATTAAAACAGTGGTATAAGGTAATTACATATACCCTACATTGTAACAACACAAGAAGGACAGGTTACAAATACCCGATTAATAAGTTGGAATAAGACAGTGTTTTAATTATATTGACAAAGAATGAAATGGTTCGGTCATCTAATAAGAATGCAGCCGGCCCAAACCACACATGCGATTTTGTTAAACAGCAAAACATTATGAAGGAAGGCAAGGGGACGACCAAGAGAGGTGGATAAATAGTTTAGCTGAAAGCTGCAAAAAAAAAGGAACAAATATAGAAAACCACAACACTAGGCTACAACCTGCTACCAGTGAGACGACAAAAGAAAAAAGACATAGCTACATTGGCAGGGTAAAAAAGGTCCTGGAACTAATGCAACAGAGTGTAAATTGTTCACATTGTGTACAATAATTACACATAAATTGCATTTTTATTTTTATTTTTTTAAATTATATAACCCATTTAAATGAAAATAGGGTTGACAGGTGTAAAATCGACCTTCAACCTTTTAGTCGGAACGTAACAGGTTATAAGTCAAGGCCCTCTACTCTCTTTACTGTGACCATGTTCAGTCCTGATAACAGCTTCCGTTATGATTGTGATCTGGTTTTATTTTTGCCAAGATCAGCATCTGAAATGATTTTTCTGGCTTAAGTTTGGGACTGAATCCCATTGTTCGGCTGTCTCTGCTGTTTTACTTTGGCCAAGATAATTTGTATGCTGTCTTTGTGTTTCTCAGCTTTGCAAGCGTGAATGCTTGGACTTTCCTTATACTACTGTTATGTCTAGATCCTCAACCCTAAACTGAATCATGACACTGAGTGTGTCCAGCTCATATGCAGAACAGACAGTTCTACTTGCCTGATGTAAATAGGACTAAGTTTCTCTGAATATATTCAGGTTGGCATTGTACAATAATTTGGAGATTAGTGAATACATTTTACAATCCAGAACGTACCAGGACTTCCACAGCAGACTGTTGAGAAAAAAGACAGTTGTTTTTATGTATTTGTGTGTGTGGGGGGTGGATGGAAATTGTGGCAGAAGTTACAGCATGAAAGAGTTTTTAAAGGCTTACCATGTAGTATGCCTAAAGGCAGATGTGTATGTACACATATATCTCTCACAACAAACACCACTGTGAAGTTGGTACAACTATTTTAAAGAAAGTACTGCATATTCCCTTATCATTGTAATTGCATGTCTCAGGGATCAAAGGTTGCTGGGGGTCAGGAAAATGATGATCCCAACAATTTGAAAGGTGGCAAGGCAGCATTTACCATCTTCGAGGATGCAGCTGGACCTTCCACCAGAGTACAGCCTCACATGCACCACATCCATGAAGATGAGCCCATGCACGACCAGGAAAACCACATCTCTGGGGACAGCCTGATTTTACATGAAGCTGTGGTGAACTTCAGCAGAGCCAGTGTTTCCCGCCGCTCCTTCCCATTGGCTCCAATTGAGCTTGATTCTAGTCATGGATACGAAGGTATAATTTTTATTTCTTGTCTAAGGCAATACATCTGTTTTATCATTATCATGATGGTTGTTTAAATATTTACTCTCATCGTTGAAACTGCGGTGGCATAGTGGCTACACACTTGCTTGCAGGCTTGATGCTTTAAGTTTGAATTCACATCCAAGCGAATTTTATTAAATTAAAACTCAGCCTATCTAAAATGGGTACCGGTAATGTCCTGGAAAGTAAAGGTAGCTGGTGTTATGTTGACCACATCACCCACCAAGTTTTGATTGGTTTATGCTTGATGCACCGCTGACATGAAAAGGATCCCTTACTTCCACCACGACTCTTCTTCTGTGCACCCACCAGCTGTAAGCTCCAGCAAAAAGTTAGGGTTGTTCATCCACTTCTGCACTTTGGTTGTGTTCCAGAACATTCGTTTTACAGATCTGGCTTATCTGTATGTAATTTTGGTTCCTGCTAGTTTCCTTGCTTCATTTATTTTTATGTCTGTAATGTCAATACTGAGTTGGTCGATCCCTGCCTGTGTAATAAATGGTAAAGAGTCATCAGAGAAAAAAAGTAATGGTAACGCTGCTGCTGAAGGGAACAAAGTTTATGGAGAATAAAACAGTTACTGGTTAATAAACTACAAACATTAATTAACTAGTGCCTGTGCAGAATAGAGGAAATTCAATGGCTTGGTGGAATCACTGATGGGGAGCTTTGAGAAAAGTATAACGAATTCCAGTGAAGCAAGAAGTGAGGAAAAAGGTGCTGGAGGACACGCTGAGAAAACCCGCGAACATTACAGCTTCAAGAGCCTTACACTGACCTCTCTAGGGTGTATAATAAGGGCGGCTTGGGTTGACCTGTGTACAATAGCAAAGAATATAAGATTTTATTTGAGGGCTTACGCTCTATTAGTTAAACGAGCAAGGAATGTAGTTTTCCCTTTTTCTCTCTCACTACTTTCATACTGTTTATTAACTTCCTTTTCTTCCTTGATTCATTACCATTTCTTCTTGCAGTGGCTCACACTATATGTTAGTGGAGCAATTTTTTTTTGTTTTCCCACTCTGAATTCGTCATGATTGAATAATTACATAAAAACTGCTTGGTCAAATCAGCCAGCAGCTAGAGAGCCCTACCTGAGAACAGCTGACTGTAGGGCAAGAGGGACCAAGAAAGGGATTGGTGGAGGGAGCAAAAGAGACACTACTTTAACGCATTATAATATTAACCCAAGCTACACAACTAGCAGGAGACAGAAAACATCTAACTCCTCTCTGCGAGGCTTTTTGACTTAACCTGTAGGACACAAGAACTGGTGAACACTTAACTTTTCTGTCCGCAGGTTCTCCTATGGTTCTGGATTCCTCCAGGTGTCATGATATCAGCATTGAAAGACCTGATGAGTTCGGTCTTGAACCATATTTCCTCGATATTTACAGCTACCTGCGGGCAACAGAGGTGAGTTACCTCAGCTCATTCAGTACCTAGCAACACAGCATGAGTTTGTGGTAACTCCACTGATATTTAACCCTTTCACCCTGATGACATGGGGGGGGGGGGGGGGGGGGGAGACCAGCCATTTTTCTGATATTCCCAGAAGAAATCCTTTTAAGAACCATTTTTTATGTTAACCAACAAAACATACAGAACACAAAGAAATATAGAGTAAAGGGGTAATTAATAAAAACAAATGTAGCTTGGTGAAAATATATTGGAATTTATATTAATAAAACTATTCGGGGAGGGGGAGGTGTCAATGAGCATATAAGCTACAACACTTAGTTGACACTGCTCTGGTCAATGAGCATATAAGCTACAACACTTAGTTAAAACTGCTCTGGTCAATGAGTATATAAGCTACAACACTTAGTTAAAACTGCTCTGGTCAATGAGCATATAAGCTACAACACTTAGTTGACACTGCTCTGGTCAATGAGTATATAAGCTACAACACTTAGTTGACACTGCTCTGGTCAATGAGCATATAAGCTACAACACAGGAAGTACATTTTAATTAATTTTTTTTTTTCAAAAATATAATCTTGCACTAAATTAAAAAAATTCTTACAAATATGAGTTTACCTTGTTGGCCCAAAGAAGCCACAAAATTTGCATTTTAATCTTGGTTATGTTAATATTTTTTTTCAAGATTATGTATACATTTTTGTTAAATGTGCACTGCATCATGGTCTTTAAAAAAAAAAAATACAGCGCTAGGATGGCAGGGTTAAAATAGTTTCTAAATTAAGACATTGTGCGTTTATTGGTGCCCAAGTCAAATCCTTCAGTTAATTACCCTTCTTTTGCATCCTTTCATCTGCTGATACCTTGTAATTACAGTGTGTCCATCGACCTGGCAGAGACTATATGAACCGACAGTCAGATGTGACGACATCAATGAGAAACATCTTGGTAGACTGGCTTGTGGAGGTAAGTCACCTGATGTCATTTGCATTAAAGTCCTTAACTTCCCAGTGTGGGTTCTGAATCCCAGTTGAAAAAGGGGGGGGGGGGGGGGGGGGGGGGGGTTGTCCCATTTGGCCCCCTCCCCCAAGTGAGCATGTCATAACAGTTGACTACTTAGTGGTGTTTCCTTTTGCAGTCAAAGTGTCTGCCAGAGAGGTGGGGGAACCAAGTCTGCACACAAATAAGCAAGATCTGTAAAATGAACTTACACACAACAGTTATGGAACTAAATCAAAGTCCAGAATTGGGAGGAACTAGCAGGAATTTAATGAGAAGTATGGTCCGGATACAAGCATTTGGGTTGGGTATCTGTGGCAACACCATTATGTGAGTAAGTCAACACTAAAATGACATGTGGAGCATAAACATGGACTAATAAAAAAAACTGCACACATTTATTTAATATTAAAATGTATTAAGTCTTACGACAGCGGAGACTCGGGTTTGGATCCTTAGTAAGGTTTGTAGATTTTTGTTGTCTGAGGCAGAAATATGCACTTCTAACTTGCGTAGTCGTGGCGACATCGCTAACAATGTAGCCCTAAATCTGCAGGCCGAAAGACATCCATGCCGTCACTGTAGTAGTGGTAAAAATGGGCAGTTTGCAATAGGATAGAAAGAATAAAACTAGCACAATAGAATCATGAAAGCAGAGCTTAGAAAGACAACTAAAGTAATTTATAATCCTCTTTAATGGGTCACATGACAGATTGCACACACTTTTCCATGTCAGGTACACATTATGTAACACATACTCTTTTGCGTGTGAACATTCCCAGTCTTTGTTCGTCTGCATTCACCTGTGGTAAACTCTGGCAGAAAGTTTTGTCATTCAATTCTGGACTTTAGTCTTGTTCCAGAACTTTTGTAGTAGTTTTGTTTGACATCTGTTATTCAGATCTGGCTTTTTTGTATGCATTTGGTTTCTTGCCTCTCAGGCAGATGCCCTTCTGCATGGAAGGCAATTCCCCCAATTAGTCAACTAATGCAGCATGCTTGTTAAGGAGGCAGTTGGTCTACTATTCCCCCTTCCCTACCCCAAGGGGGGGGGGGGGGGGGGGGGGGCTTCAGAACCCACACGGGCACCTTTTTCATGAGTTCTGGGGGGGGGGGGTGGAGATAAACCCACCTCTTGCTCACAAGCATGTCATAAAAGGCTACTAGTTTTTTTTTTTTAAAGAATCTTGTTAGGTCAAAAGATAACTATAAACCATAACACAACGTGCCAGTCACCCTTTACTGGACACACGCAGAAGGTGAACATTTATAACAAATTATGCTCTTTGAACATAAACTTATTGAACCCTTTTGCACAAGAACTTGATGTAACAAATGATCACTGCCTGCCAGGTTGGAGAGGAGTACAAGTTGCAAAGAGAGACCTTGTTCCTTGCCGTGGCCTACATTGACCGGTTCTTGAGCTTGGTTGGGGTGTCCAGGCCAAAGCTGCAGCTTGTAGGGACTACCAGCATGTTCATTGCATCGTGAGTAGTTTTATTTTGTTGAAAACTTGTATCTCATGTGGGAGATGAAATGATCATGTGTAATTGATAGTTTACTGTGCAAGCTTTAGAGCAGCGTTTCACAGCCTTTTTTCCAGTCACAGGCCTATTCTGTAGAGGCAAACTAACCTGCAGCCACCCATACATTGATGCTTTTTGATAAGAGTACATGAGGACACGTTAAAAGTACCAGATTTTTCTTAACTCAAGATGCAATGTGAATTTTTTCCTATGCATTATAAATAAAATCATTGGTCTGCACTGCCACGCAACTCAAGAGAGAAAAACCATTCCTGGATCCTTTGGTTTCGAGCAGTGTACGTCATTTTACACCAATGGGCCACCTAATTTGGATGAATTGTTTTGCGGCCCACCTGACAGGTAACTGAACACAAAGCAGAATCAAGTGAAGGCAACGATTTACTTATCTGGTGTCAAAAAATGTACATTCGATTTCTGCGGTTTTTTTTTTTCCTTCTTCAAATCAGTGCAAATGCTTTTATATCTTGTTACGTCCTTGTTACCTGACCGGGAAGAAATTGGTGGCCAACTGAACTTTGTTCTGTGGCTTACTGGGTAAACACACTGGTTTAGAGAGTGTAGCAAACATAACCCAGGATTTGTTTACTGTTTGTGCTTCTCCTCTTTTACCACTTCAGGTGTTGAAGAGGTGAGGTTTTGGTTCGTGCTTTTCATATTCTAGCATTGACACATGGTGCTGTTGCAGAGTTTCTCTGTTATCATTCCATCTTGGAAATGGAATGTATATTACTGTCATACCAAAATGTACTACAGAAATGTATCTCTGTTATCGACACTGCTGTATTCTTGGGAGTTCACCGGCTGAAAGCTCCAGCAGAAAGTTCTGGTTGTTCATCCACTTCTGCCCTTTGGTCTTGTTCCAGAACCTGAGTGTTGCCTGTACATTTGTTTTACTCTGGCTTATTAGGAAGTAGACTCTTGGTTTCTAGCCTCAGACAGATGCACTTTGACTTTGAATGAAACGCCCCATAGTCTTTTATTAATGCTTTGTCAGGAAGCCAGTAGGTCTATTTTATCCCCCAAAATTTGGGCCCAGATACCAACTGCGTGAGGACCTAATGGCAGTGAATATAGCGGCTCACAGGACTTCGTTGTAATAGTTAAGACAAATGATTTCACAGTGACAAGTTTGTCCTGCTACAAAGAATGACAACTTCTTTGTCAGCATTATATGTCATAACTTGTAGTTTTGATGTTATCTGTTGTTTCATCAGCAAATATGAGGAGATATACCCACCTGATGTGGCTGAATTTGTTTACATCACGGATGACACCTACGACAGGAGTCAGGTGAGAAAATGTTAGGTTTCTCAGTAGCATTTGTTTTTACATAGACTGTTTTTGCTGACAGTCCTTCCTGTCCCACACATAAAGTCAGTAGCAAGGTAAATTAAACAGATAATGGGAGGTCACAACAGTTCATAGAAGACAGAGTGAATCAAGCTTATAACTCCCGTGTGAAATCTGAATTATAACAGGTGTAATCTACACTTAAGACAACATTGTATCAGACACACGTTTTCATGGTCATTGAAATGTGTGGTCAAAAGTTTTTTTTTAAATATCCAGAAACCATGAATTAAAAACCCTTTATCTCTGTACTATGGATGTCGCAACCCTTCGGCCTTGATTCCATGATAGATACTGTAAATCTTGGAGAAAGGCTTTTCAGCCTACCTCTGGACTTGAACCCGGACCACAAGGAGTTTGTCGCCTCGCAGTCAGGTTTAACCAACTGAGCCAGCTAGCCGTGCAACTAAAAAATGTGGATCTAGTACTAACCTGATTCAGATGTTACATTAGGGTTGCTTTAGGGATCAGATATCACTAAGCTATAAACATATTTTTTTAGCTGGTATTGTGGGGAAGAAATAGGATACAAGTGAAACAGAATCCCTGATTCTTAGCTGAGTAAGTTAGCTGTGTATCCTTTGTACAGCACACGACAGTAACCAGCAGCAGCATTTTTTTTTTTTTTTTTTTTTTTTTTTTTTTGGGCAGTTTGTAATTTTACTAGGCAATTTTCTGTTCCTTAGTTTGCCAACACTTTTTTGTGTCCCCAAAGTCTGGTCACCTAGGAAATTTCAGCTGCATTTAACAGGGTTCGTAGTGGATCGGGAAATTACCGGGATTTTTTTCGTTGACCTTGAACCGTGATTTTTAGCTTATAAAAGACATTCCGACCTTGAAAAGCCGTGAATTTTGACCGCGGCAATGAAATCGTCAGAAATCCTGTGTTTTTCAGCACAGGCAATTTTGGGGGAGCCATTTGGCTAGTTTTTGGCTACTTTCGTTGTATGGTCATTTCAGGTGTGAGGGCAGCTGATTATTGGCTATTTTCAGCCGAAATGGCTTGTTAAAGGCCAGGGGAGGGCGGGCTGTGTTGCAGATCATGAATACATGCAGACAGCAGCGGTGTGGCATGGCGCGGGAAGTAGCAGATTCCGTCTCCCGTGTGTGTGTATGTGTGTGCCTTTGTTTCTAGGGAGTCCGGCAGAATGAACCTTATAAATCATCTATGGCCGTGGTTTCTAGAAAGGATTACATTGGGAGATGGTGGGGCTCGGTTCAGTTGTATTTATAAATACCGCTGTGGTGGGGGCTAAGCACGGCCTTCTCTATTAATTAGAGATGGCATTGGGGCTAAGCAAAGTGACTGCAGCTGGATTTCCCAGTTCTATTTTTGGCCTGGATTTATCTTTACAGTGTGTTTGGCGATCAGTATTGTAATTCCCTGAGATTCCCTCTTCTGTTGTCTCACCCCTCTCTCTCTCTTCCCTCCCTCTTTCACTCTTCTACCTATTGCTCCTTCCTTCCCGTCTCCTGCATCGTCTCTAATTCTCCCTTCTGATCTTCATCTTCTTCTCTTTCTCTCTATCTTTCCTTTTACTCTCTCATTTCCTATCCCCTCCCCTTTTTTCCTATTTTATTTCTTGTTTAAATGTTTAGTATGGTAGTTTAGTAAATGTGCGGCTCCATAACTCTTCCTAGCAACTCAAGTACGCAGGAAGTTGTATTGGGGGGGGGGGGGGGCATTCTGTGTGAACATGGTGGATATTTTCTTTTGATGTGTTTGTTTTCCTAGCGGCCTTAATCTCTGTCCATCTCCCTTCCCGCCCCCTCACATTTTGTCCTACCTGTTCCTCACTCTCTGCCTGTCTGTGTCACTGCTTTCCTCTTTCTCTTTGTATTTGCCACTCTCCCTCACTCCCTCCCCCTCTCTCTCTCTCTTTCTTTCTCCATATCTTCAGTTGGTGTAGGTTATGTGTTGCCTAGTGCAGAACATTTCATGTCCACCATTCCCCCCCTCCCACACATTAAATATATGTGTACTTTTAAAAACACATTTGCCGTCACCCCCCCCCCCCTTTCTCCTCCACATTGATGACACCTAGGGGAGGGAGTGCACCCCTTCCTGCTACCTTCTTTCCCTCTATATCTCATCTTATTTCTTACTCCCTTCTTTCTCTCCCTGTCTCATTCCCACTTTATTTTTCTTAAACTTTATTCTCTCACCTCCTCTGTCTCACCCTTACCACCTCAGCCTTCTACACCACTTTCCACCACCTCCCCTCTCCCCTCCTTTCTGTAATTGGAAAACCAGAAATAAAACGAAGTCCACTGCTGCCCTGACCTATTTATGTGTCTGACCTATTTATGTGTGTGGGTAAACTTCTCTATTTTCCACCAGTGGTGGGTTGGGATCCCCTGGACTTTTTTTTTTCTTCATAAAATGACCTTGGCTCTCAGGTCACCAGCCTTAGAAATTGAATTATTGTTGTCACACACAGATAGGACATGCAAGGGGCAGTAGGGGTTAGCACTGTTGTTTTTGGACCACGGCCACATTCACATTGGGAGGAGGGTAGGAACCGAAAATAAAAGTGGCCACACTTAGAGATTTCCTAATTCGTATTTTTGGGCACTCATTGTTCTTACACCCCCCACAACCGTGACTTACCTTTCTTCTCTCACCCCTTCTCTTTCCTTGATCTTCTACTATTCTCCTTTCTCCCTCCATTCTTCCTCTCTTCCTTTCCTTGCCCTTTCTCCTGTCCCCATTCTTCTTTGTCTCCTCTCCATGTCTTGTCTTTTTTTTTTTCTCCTCTAGATTCCCCCAACCCCCCCCCCCCCCCCCCCTTACCCGCCCTCCCCTCCTCTCATTCACCCCCCCCCCCCCCCCCCCCCCCCCCCCCCCCCCCCCCCCCCCAAATTTTTTTTTTACTGGTTCATGGTTACGTATTTTTTGCCCCATAACTATCTTTTCCTAGTGGTTGTGTCCACTACACTTGAAATTGTGGGGGGTGGGGGAAGTAGGTGGCTGTTTTTTTTTTCTTTGATGTATCTTGTCTCCCTTCCTGCCCCTCTCTCTTAATCTGTGTTTGTCACTGCCTTCCTTACCCACCTCTCTCTCTCTCTCTCTCTCTCTCTCTCTCTCTCTCTCTCTCTCTCTCTCTCTCTCTCTCTCTCTCTCTCTCTTGCTTTGTCTGTTTGCCTCCCTTCATCACTTCCTCTTTGTATACCTCCCTCCCATTCTCCTGCTCTGCCTTTTTTCTCTTTCTTTGGTTCTCTCCCTCTGTCTGCTTGCCTCTCTGTGCTGTCCCTTTGTCTCTCTCTCTCCTTTATGTCTACATCTCTCTCTGCTTGCATCTGCTTCTCACCCTGTCCGTTCTCTCTCCCTCTGTTTCTAGCGACGTTGGTTAAACCTGACTTTCGCGGCGGCCGGGTGACGAACTCCTTGTGGTCCGGGTTCACTCCCGGGGGTAGGCAGAAAAGCCACATTTCTCCCAGATTAACGGTACCTATAATGGAATCAAGGCCGAAGGGTTGCGATATCCATAGTACCGAGCCAAAGGGTTTACAACTCATGGTTTCTGGATACGTTAAAAAAAAAAAAAAAAACTCTTTGTCATATTTTCCTCTTTCCATATCTCTGTTTCGTTCCCTTTTTCCTTCTCTTTTCATCTGCCCATCTCTGTATCTGCATTCCCTCTTTCTGTATTTGTCTTCCTCTCTTGTCTTTCGCTGTCCCTTCCCCACTTTTCCTCATCATGTCTCCATCCCTCCCTCTCCTTTTTCCCTCCTTCCCCATACTTCTTTTCCTTCTTCTCTCTACCTTCATCTGTCCATCTTTACACTGTCTCTCCCAGCCTACCTCAGCATGTGTCTTCCTCTCTCTTCATGACTCTCCCTCTCTCCCCTAACCCTCTCAGGTACCAGGTCCAGAACAGACAGGACTTCAGTTTGCTGCCCTCTACCACCAAGCCTTAAAAAAAAATTTCAAACACTATCAAGCTCAGGGGCCGACCAACACGAAGATGGGCACAGGATATAAGTGACCTTGAGTATAAAAAAGTACATGAGGCGGGAGAGCTGGTGAGAGACCGAGGTTTTTTTGTCAGGACAAAGGAAATGCTACATGATGATGATATCTGTGCTGGTATACCAACACATGTGGCACAAATGAAGTACCTTGTGTGCTCAGTACACCCTTGAACAAGGCAAAAATCTTGTTTCAGTATTACACCAAGACAACCTTGAAAAAAACTAAGGAGACCTTGAAAAAGACCTTGAAAAGCCTTGAAATTGATTGGTAAATTTGGCTATGAACCCTGATTTAAATTAGGAGTTAACATAGCGCATCAGTCTTTTTATTGCAAATGATGAATTTCATATTGTAGACATGAATATTCCAATTTAATAAAATGTTACATTTCATTCCCTGTGTGGGTTTGCGGGCCCCATTGTGTGTGTGGGGGGGGCAGACCCCACTGGTGCGCCCCAAAAAAGCATGTTGTAAGACATAAGGAACATCAAGTTGACTCAGAGTAGAGTTCATTTGCCTGAGACACAAGGAACCATCAAGTCGACTCAGGGTAGAGTTCATCTGCCTGAGACACAAGGAACCATCAAGTCGACTCAAAGCAGAGTTCATCTGCCTGAGACACAAGGAACCATCAAGTCGACTCAAAGCAGAGTTCATCTGCCTGAGACACAAGGAACCATCAAGTCGACTCAGAGTAGAGTTCATCTGCCTGAGACACAAGGAACCATCAAGTCGACTCAGAGTAGAGTTCATCTGCCTGAGACACAAGGAACCATCAAGTCGACTCAGAGTAGAGTTCATCTGCCTGAGACGCAAGGAACCATCAATAAGTCAGATCTGTAAAACAGATATGCATGCGAATCTGGGATAAGATTAAATCCAGATGTGGACAAATATCAAGAATTTACAGCCCATGAATGTGAAGACTAAATTTCATGTCTTGAAAACGTTTTGTTTTCCTGTGTGTATAATCAGACTGGTGGTGTTTATTAACAAATAAAACGAGACAGTCATCAACTGCGATAAACGGCTGAAGGTGGTTACATAGAGCATAAATATGAAAAGCTGTTGCAATGGAAATATTTCCCTGTGTGGGTTCCGGGGTCCTATTGTGGCGGAAAACAGACTCCCACTGCCTCCCTAACAAGCAAGTCGTAAGAGTCGACTAATTGGGGGCTTTCCTGGGAGGCAGGGAACCAATAATCTGCATACAGTTAATTCATCTGTAAAACAGATGTGCATGCAAGCCAGGTTCTTGAACAAGTAAAGTCCAAGGTGGATAAACAGCCAAAACTTTTTACTGGAGTTTTAGCCACTAAACGCAACGAAAAATGCAAACATGAATGGGGGAAAATGTGAATGAAAAAAAATTATTGGTAAAATAATTATATTTCAGTTTACTAAGCATAGTTGTAAGCTCGACTGCAGTCACCCCTATACTGTACAGAGCAAACAATTCCACACTAACTGCTAATAATTATATACTTACTTTGAACACATGACCACAGTACGGGTAAATGATTTTTTTATAGAACATCAAAGAATTAAATGGTGTGGCCATCTTGTCAGACTGGAACCAAATCAGCCAGCAGCTAGTGTATATACATGAGAACAGAGGCTACAAGTCAAGAGGCTGACCAAGAGAGACATGGGTGGGGGAAGTAAGAGAAACTTCAGAAACATAATTAGCAAAAGACAGCAAACTTCATATAATGCCTCTCTGTCATGCCCTATGACATAAGCATTAGGACAAAAGAAAGCACATGATGCAGCTAACGCTTGAATACTTTTTTAATAACATGTTTCCAGCTAATAATTGTATTAATATATTTATAGGTCTTGAAGATGGAAAGTGCCATGCTGAAAATACTGGACTTTAAAGTGTCAGTTCCCACAATAAACTGGTTCTGTGAACGCTTTCTGGATTTGTTGGAGTTGGACATGAGTGAGAAGGCAAAGTTCTTGTCATTTGTGAGTAGTGGTTTTTTTTCTTCTTTATCAAAGGTCTTTCTATTTCTAAGATTTTTTTTAAAGTATATATATCTATATATATCAGAAACCTAAGTATGTTGGTCAGGCTTTTAATGGGCTGCAGAGGGGCTGAATCGGGACCAGGGGTGACACTGGCTAAGACCTGTCTACACGTCTTCTGTGGTCACATCCTTGAAACGGGTTCCCAGCTTGGGGTTGGTGGGGGGCAGGCCAGCATTGTTAGGATCATTTCCTTTAGTCTCAAGGTGCCTGCTAGAGAGACAAGGGACCAGCAGTCTGATAAATAAGCCAAATCTGTAAAACTGAAATGTATGCACTACTTAAGGCTAGAAATAAATGAACCAGAAGTATCCGCTGTCTTTCACAGCACTTCTGTATCCTGGTCAGCAGGCAGGTGTAGGGCCATATTTGTTCAACTCCAGCACTAAAATAAATTAAAATGCTAACTAATTTTATATATATATAAGTTTACTCAAGCCTGCGTGTTGTGGACTTTTTCCGCAAACACTGAATTGAAAAAGATTCTTAGCATATCCTGAGGCCATACTCATGAAAAATTGATAGTTTCTTAGAAAATGTTTTGACTACATTAAATATTATATTAAATGGTTTGGATAGAGCAGTAATGGAGGGTGCGTTTTCTAAGACAGGTTGCGTGGTTGACCGGCAGGACGGTAAACATAGGATGTCAAGGACATTGAAGTTCATGAACCGGTAAATTGGCAGGGTACTAGGTGGCTTTCCGGCTTGCCATTATTAGAGTGAATTACTGCAAAGGACCTATTACATGCTGATGAAGACCCTGGAATTGATCATGAACTATTCTGTTTACCCCTAAAAAGCTGGTTCACATGATGAAGTGTACAGCTAGGCTGCGATATCTACACCTATTCTTTATCAGTTGTCTTTTACGACATGCTTTTAAGGGCAGTGTGGATCTATTTTTTCTTCACTGAGGCCCCAGAACCCACACAAGGGTATTGTACGTTCTAATGAAACTGATTTTTGAAACAATAAATGTTTAAAATGTCACAACAGTTCTTGGCGGAGCTTTCCCTGATAGAAATTGAGAAGTTCATGGACTTCCGGCCGAGTGAGATTGCAGCAAGTTGCGTTGTTATTAGCCAGAAGTGTCATGGAAACCCATGACCCTTGGGTAAGTGTTGACAGGACATTTTAAACTTCATCAGTGTGTGCATATATGACAAGGTAATATATTTGTTACTGGATTAAATGGAATTTAGGAGGGGGAGACTAAGCTTATGGGTGGTCTCAAGCAGGGGTCACAGTAAAATTATCTAGATTCCCGACTTATGTTGGTCTCATCATCTGGGTCTGTAAAATGGAAGAGCAGACAAAAATCAGGTTCTGTAACTGCGCTAAAATCCAGAAGTGGATGAACAACCACACTGTCCTACTTCTGGTGAACTCTAGGAAGAATCCTCAGGACGATGGAATTTTTCCATGGACAAAAAAAAGATAATCCTTTTGCAGTCACCCTTTAAATGGCGGTTGACATTTTTTTTTTTTTTTTTTTTCCAGCTAGGCTGCAGTATCTGCATCACCTAGTTTCAGCAAACCAAACATTAGTTAAATTTTAGAACATGCATGTTACCGGAGCAGCCATACTATATCTTCCTTCCTAAAATAGGTCCCTTGAACCTACACCGTGAATATAGAATCCCAGCCTACACCGTTAATGGTAACTGCAAATGCCAAGCTGCCCTAAAACCTCATGTTTTAGACCTGTCCTTAATCTCCCTGAAAAGACTTCTGCCTTTTTAACCCCCCAGTGGAGCATAGGCCCTCAACCAACTCACGCTGGGTCCTTCACTGTAGCATGCAGCCCTTCCCATGTCTTCCACATCTTAACCTCACCCTCCAGCTACCAGCTTCTCTCCCCCTCCCCTTCATTTCAATGCCCCTGTGGGTTCTATTGCAAAGACATTATAGTTACATTGTTCTCAGGTTTTCTCAAGGCATGTCATATCCAATGCCAGCATTTTTTCTTCACCTCTTGGTCTACTGGAACTTGTTCTATCCCGAAGCTCTACATTAGTGATTCTATCGTACCATTGAATTCCCTCTATGCTGCGCAGGGACCACAAAATTAATGTTTGTATTGATTAGTTGTTCATGTTTCAAAAGTACTGATTTGACATTAGGATTAACAATTTTAATTTGAGTATTTTCTTTTAATTTCTTTTGACCTATACAAATTCCCTAGGAAAGCTCCTCCTGCCGTTTGTTTTTCTATTATATCTGTTCCCTCCCTCCCTCCCCCCCCCCCCCCCATCTTCACATCACTACCCAAATAGGTGTACGACTCCACGTCTTGATGTGGGATACCATTAAGAGAACACCACATTATTATTTGCCTGATTTATTCTCATCATTATTCTCAAAATCTTTTTTTCCTTACGGATTTGCAAACCTAGTTTCTGTGATCTCGCATCAGGTATTTAATTTATCTTGCATCTGATTCCCTAAAAAGTGGCAAGTAAATGTAAGCAGTAAACCATTTTTTTTTCAATGCATATAAAGCTGTTTGATTTCTGCCTTAACTAAATCCCTTAACACATGTTCTAGCCTAAACATATGGAGCGTGTCACAAGTTACTCATTGTCAGACCTCAAGCCATGCGTCGAACTACTGTTCTCACAATATGCAAGAAAGGAGGAGATGCCACAGAAAGCTGTCGTGGAGAAATACAAGCAGACGAAGTATGTTTTATGTTAAGTTTGTTATAGCTTAATTCTTGGTCAATAAACTACTGACCACAGGTGTAAGACAGGGATGTGTTATGTCATCCCTCCTCAACCTTGTGATTGATTGGATACTAAAGAACACAGTAGACAGGACATTGAGAGGCATACGATGGACTCCATTCACCATGCTTGAGGACCTTGATGATATAGCACTCCTATCACTTAAACATATACAAGCAAAAAGTAACAGACTACACAGCACAGCAGAAATGGTGGGACTGAGAATAAATACAAAGAAAACTAAGATAAGCAGTCCAAACCAACAACCAGTGACCATAAATAACCAAACTCTTGAAAATGTAGAACATTTCACATATCTTGGCAGTGTAGTGTCCCTACCGCGAGTGACCGAAGAGGACATAGTCACGTCTGAACAAAGCTATAGCTGCTTTTGGAAGGATGATGCAAATCTGGAAATCCAACAATTACTGCAGAGGAACGAAACTCCAACTTTACAAGCGCATCATTTTGCCAGTTCTTCTTTATAAAGTGGAATGCTGGAGAATGACCAAAATGGATGCACACAAGCTGTCCACCTTCCACCACACGTCTACGTAGAATTATCAAAATTTTCTGGCCAGATACAATCTCAAACACTAAACTACTTCAAGTCACAAACCAAGAAACCGTAGACAAATGATTACCAAGAGAAGATGGAAATGGCTTGGCCACGTTACGAATATGAATTCTGATATACCTGCCAAAACAGCTCTCACATGGACACCAGAGGGAAAGAAAACAGGGGCGCCCAAAAACAACATGGAGACGAACGATGGAAAGTGACCTGAGTGTGGCATCTTTGACATGGAAAACTGCACTGATGATTGCACAGGACAGGAAAGCATGGAAAGTCCTCTCTGAAGCCTCATGTGCCACTAGGGATAACGAGAACTGATGATGAACTACTGACCGGCTGTCTAAAATGGGAGTTCAAACCCCAGGTTGTCTTTCTCCCCCCCCCCCCCCCCCCCCCCCCCCCCCCCCATGTTTTAAATCACTTATTTCGTGTCCCTGTGACATTACTGCAGCTTGCAGGACAATTTGACAATCAGCTAGGCTCTGTGCTGTGAAGTTTGCTTAACGGGAAAACTTCCTAATAGCTATTTTTGTACCCAACCAGAAGTGTTGGTTTTGCTGTGTTTGCGATGACAGAGTAAACCTATGAGGGAAAAGTACTTTAACCCTTTTAGCACGGGAAGTTTTTCAGAGGTCTAGCCAAAAACACGGAGCATTTTTTCAGTGAATTTGGTTATTACTTTATTTAATTTTTTTGACAGATTTCTGTTATTCTGACCCCCATGAAATAAATCTTTTTGAAGGAAATAGATTGAAGTTCATGATTTTCACAATATCGTTAAAATTAATTGATGTATATGCAAATTATCTCATTTGCATATCTAAAAATAGAAAATTTGAATTTTCAACTTCAATGCTTGAAACATAAAACTAAAAACAAAATTTTTTTTTATTTGAAATCTTTTTATTGATCTTTGGTCTTTTTGCAAATGTTGTAAGCAATTCAATAGTCATGAACAGGTATATATATATGAAACAGCAATAATATCTTTAGGTGACATGTGTTTTTCACCATAAGTCAGCACAAGAAATGGATGTGCCGCAGTGTCAACACCTTCGGGTGGATATACCCTGAGCCATGGTTGGGCTGTGACTGAACACAACAGCGTCCCCATCTGATTCCCACTATTACTACTAACACTAAATCCTGCATCAGTATCAACAGAATTAGTGTCATCACTCGATTCAAATGTTTTATAAACAGGGACAGAAACATACGAGTCAGACATACTTTTAGCGGTTCAGGTCGCTATCTAAAAAATTCAACAACTGATGACTCACTTTCAGTGTTTCAAAATAGATTTCTTAGCGGTTCGAGGCGAAACACGATCGGGCCGATGATCGGCCGTTCCGTGTTTTTGGCCAGACATCCGCTGGCCGATAATCGGCCCGTCCGTGCTAAGAGGGTTAAAACTGACAGCTGGTAAATTGTGTAAAGTAAAGAACTAGATCAGGGGCGTTCAGCTGAGTTTACTGAGGGAGAATGGGGGTTGTCACGGGCCAGAGGCTGAACCCCAGCTTAGAAAGATCATTATTAGAATTGGCACGTAATTCGTGGGCTCATGGGCCGTCACTTGAAAAGTTTGCAACTAGAGAAAGACTGATAACTAAATGACTTAACACAGTGCATTAAACCAACCTAAAAGTACAGACTGGACCCAAGATTCTGAAGACAGGTTGCAGAATATGACTGCCCATGCCTTTGGTATGGCACTTGATGATTTTTACTGATTCTGCCTCTAACATTTTTTTTGTTTGTTTTCTTCTTCCCTAATGTTCAGGTTCGCTCAGGTTTCAACAGTTCAGCCCCCTCTCGTTCTGGCAATATTTTGAAGATGCAAGCATAAAAACTACGCAGGCTGGTAAATACATTATTGCAACAAAGCAATTCGGGACATGCCTTTGACAGTGGGCAGGCTGTGCTTTTTGAGGCTTGTGTGAACAACCAGTGGCCTGAGCAGCAAATATCTGGAACTATTAGCTTGGTCTCTACCTTATTGGGGTAATCATCAAGCCTAGAATGTGTTGTGGTAGGTTTAAACCATAGACTTTTTGTAGTTCTTGGCAACTTTTGTTTTTAGAATTGCAAAACTTTGACAACTGCATATAAAATTCCTGCCAAAATTCTGTTAATAAATTTTTTAATCATTTTAATTTTGATCTGACTTAACATTTCAATTTTTTCCCGTTTCATTAACATTTACCAATCATTACATTTTCGTCTCATTTTAATGAATCATTTTTAGTAACAATAAACTGGGAGGTTTTTTAAAATATATAGTGCATCAACAAAGTTTAAGTAGCCATTTAAAAAAAAATATTATTTTACTAATGCAGATTTTTTTACAGTAAATAATCTAAAACATTAATCAGTTTAGTAGCGTTCAGCTAATGTCTAAATTGTTTTAGTGAACAGCAGAAGTTTCAGTATCTATTATTGCATTTGTAGGTATTGTAGAGCAACTCTAGGCCAGATTTTGAGTCATGTTGGGATTGAATTTAATAACCCAGTGTATTCAAGTGCAATAACATTTGCTTTTGTTGGCTTAAAAAAATGTGGCAAATTAAAACAAATTATTTCTACCTAACAAAGCAGGCCACCAGATTCCTAAATTAAGAAGCATATTTTATATTTTTGTTAAAAAAAAATTTGTTACTTTTGTCGGTCTTTTATGTTAAAAAAAAAATATTTTCTATTGCAAATAATACAGATCTGTTTTATTTTTTAATTTCTTAGACGTATGTTTTTATATTTTTACATTCAAAGGTCCATTCCACCCTTTTTCCATGGAAGAGGCCAGAGGGGAAATGAAATTAAAAGTATAAATAATAAAAATATGCAACAGTCAGTTTAATTTTCCCCAGTAGTGTGCCCTTGGTGTCACATATTTTTTTTTTATGTTTTAACCCCCTACTGGCAAACACCTTATGTCTCCACTAATAATTGTTATTTCTCTCCTCCCTCCCTCCACACACAGCATGTTGCTACCTCTCATAAACTGCACATTCATCGTCTCTCTGAATTCACAACACACATAGGAAATGCCTTTTCATGGTTGTCAAAATACTTAACACTGCCAATTTTTCTTTCAGTATTTATTTTTCTTTTCCATTGATTTTGTGTCATTTGTGTTTGAAAAAAGAAAAACTACACCTCTAGTATGATATAGATGTTGTCAAGTACTTCGTGTTTGTATATTTCATCACATTTATTTTGTTACACCTTTTGAATATGAAACCAGTTGAGTGCCTTTGCCATTTTCTTACCGATGCTAGCATGTTTTAAAACATTTTAATGTTTTAAACAACTGATATTTAACAAGTTTTCAGACTGATGTTTTTTATTCATCTTAATGTTGGGAAATGCTTTCAAATTTATGAAATGTTACATTCAAGTGCCTTGAAAAATGTAATAAGGGTCAGATTTATAATTCAGGAGACTCGTTCATTTGGATTTGATTTATTCCATCACATGTTTCTGTTCAGTTGACGGCAGATTGTTTTATAATTCTGTTTAAGATGTCTCCCATTGTTTAACTTTGTCGTCGGTTTTATGTCCCTCTTGGCTGAATCACTTAAATCTGTCCATATTTCTTTGTTTATATGCCATGTCCTCTAATTATTTAGTTTTATTAAGCGTGTTGTATTGCAGTTTTGTAGTAAGAGGTTACATTGCGGTTTTGTCATCAAGAAAACTACAGTGCAGTTTTTTTTTTTTAAACAAGTTCCATTGCATTTTTTACCATCTCATGCAAGATGTCATTAAGAAAATAACATTGCATATTTTGACATCAAGAAAGTAACATTGCAGCTAGTTGCCAATACATTCAGTTTCAGCCTTCCCTGTTTGCCTGCGAGATAACGGTTCTTGTCTCAGCCCACTTGGCATTTTAAATAAGGCCTAGTCACTGGCAAGTGGTTACATTTGTAAGCGTCTGCTACAAGGTGAAAAAAATGGAAGAGCAGCCTTCTAGTTCTGTTTACTGAATTCCGTGTATCATTTTTCAGTCATATGTTGACCATATCACAGTTTGGTGGTCCACTCATGACAGCATTGCTTAGCTGAATTTCATTTCATTACTTGTTTTCAGTTCAGCTTTTTTTCTTGTCTGTGTATGGTCTATTATTAAAGACCAGGTGGTATTTGGGCCTTTCACATCTGTTTTTTTTTTTTTTTTTTCCTTGTAACATTCTTCTAATTAAGACTACCTCATTTTCTACAGTGACACCCACCTTTACAGCTTTCTTTCACATCTGGTTTTTTTTTGTTGTTGTTGTTGCTTGTCTTCTCTATCTCAAGTTGTGGCAATAGTCTGTTAAAGTTATTCTGTTAATTAGATAAATATCTGCTCGTCTAGATATGCCAAGCTGCAGCTATCAAAGCATTAGTGATATTAATTAATTAATTAATTAATTAGTCTGTTAATTAGATAAATGTTTGCCTAACTATGCCGAGCTGCAAACTGTCAAAACATTTGTGATATTAGTCTGATAAAGTTAGTCTGTTAGTTGAATAAATGTCTGTCTGCCTAGCTATGCCGAGATTCAGCTATAAAAACATTTGTGATATTAGTCTATTAAAGTTAGTCTGTTTGTTAAGATACATGTGTGTCCAGTTATATCGACATGCTGCTGTCAAAACATTTGTGATATTAATTAGTCTGATAATTAGACAAATGTCTGCCTGTCTATCAGCTGTCTGAAGTCTTCTTTTTGTTTCTCTGTCTGCCCTTGTAGCTGAATTGTTCCTATAAAATGTGTTCGTAATGAATCTTGCTGTTTATTTATCTATATTCTTTCTTACTGCTAAGTCGCATCTTCTTTATCTTCTGCGTTCCCGTCTGCTAACTGTTGATTGTTATACAAATTCTCATGTTACTTTCGCACAGTAGATTTATCTACTAACTACCAACATACCACTGTCTACTAACTACCAACATACCACTCTTGTCGTTTCCCTGCTGTGTAAATATATATTTCTGACAATTTTGTTTGTTGTTGACCATATTCTTTGCTGTACACTTTTGCTGTGTATTTAGTTGCTTAATAGGTATGTCATGTCGCCTGGCAGTGTGTGATACTGTCTCATGCTGTTTTGTCACAGATAAGTTACTTAACACGGCCCGCAATGGTAAATATGTATATATCTCCTGTGAGATGTATAACTCTTAAAAACTCTTAATGTTGTTGTACTACTGACTTATTTCTCTCTCTCTCTCTCTCTCTCTCTCTCTCTCTCTCTCTCTCTCTCTCTCTCTCTCTCTCTCTCTCTCTCTCTCTCTCTCTCTCTCTCTCTCTCTCTTCTCTCTCTCTCTTTCTGTCTCTCTCTCTCCCCTCTCTCTCTCTCTCTCTCTCACATACACACACATATACATATGTACTGCTGTCCTTTGATGTTATTTATTACATTCTAGTTATACTAATTGTCCCAGCTGAATACTTGTATAGGAGAGTAGTGTGTATTCCTCCTGTCTTTACTTTCTCATGCTGATCTAAACTCTAATGCTGTCTTTTCCTCTCCTGCCAATGTCCTTTACTGTCCTTCAGTCTCTAATTAATGTACTGCTTTTCTCTCGTGATTGTCTTACACAGCTGTACATATGTACTTCTTGTCTCTGTTGTATATATATATATATTATGCTAACACTGGCCTTTCAATTTTATTAATTCTTCAATATTCTCATGAACCCCTACCTCCATTCATTTTTCTAACCCTCTTTTCTGTCTATTAGTCTACAACTCTGCTCATATCCAACACTCTTTTCTGTCCATCTGCACGTACTTCTGTTCATTTGTTCAACACCCGCACCTCTGCAAGTTAGTCCGGCACCTCTGCAAGTTAGTCCAACACCAGCACCTCTGCAAGTTAGTCCAACACCGACACCTCTGCAAGTTAGTCCAACACCGGCACCTCTGCAAGTTAGTCCAACACCGGCAATTCTGCAAGTTAGTCCAACACCGGCACCTCTGCTTATTTGTCCAGCCCTCACTTCTGACTTCATGCACCTCCGTTCATTTGTCCAGCCCTCACTTCAGTCTTCATGTAACTATGTTCATTTGTCCATCCCTCACTTCCGTCTTTATGTAACTCTGTTCATTTGTCCAGTATTCTTATTTCTATGTACGTTTACCTCAGTTCACTTTTTCTACCTATCTCATTCCCTTTCTAATCTTGCTTGGCTCTTTTGAGAAAACGAAAATGGCTGGACCGCCACTTTGTTTTGTAAACAAAAACACACTTCCACCATCTGTTTTTCTTACAGCTTTCTCACTATCTTGTTTCTTGTTTTTATCTGTTGATTATCAAAGAACAAAACAAATCACTTTATGTTTGTGAATTAATCTGACGGTATACTACCTAATGTTGTACCATACTTAAACATACTCTACCAAACTCCATCACTACTGCTGATTTCAGAGTCAGAATGTATTTTTCATAATCATCTGTAACAAATACAGTAATGTTAAATTTGTGCATTAAATTTGATACAGGTTTGTTACATTTGTTTGCAAATTGTTAAATTTTGTTTTTTAACACAAATTTGCAGTCAGTTTTATTTTCTAGGTGTCAATTACCTAGGTGTCAAGTGTTTATCCTGGTGTCTGTTTTGTTACAGGTGCCTTCTGTTTTTCCTTCCTTTCTTCTAGGCTTCCGATTCATTTTAATGGTGTCTACTGTTTTTTCCCCACTAGATATCTGCTTTTTTTTTTTTATTAGTCAACTCTTTCTTTGTTAATAGCTGGGGTTTTTCTTCTCTTTTTCATTGTTCTTCTATATGTCCGTTTCACCCACATGTCCACTCTGCCAGTTGAACACACACACTGCCTAACCT